ATGTATATCTTAACACTTAGTCTTCTTTTGTTTCTTCTTAGACCGAATTTGAAAAAGTGGATTTTAGAAATAAAAGAGGTGAAAATAATGTTGTTTGAATTAAAAGAAAAAGTTAAGAAATGAAAGAATTTAAAATGATAATTTATGATAGTTAGGAAAGGACGTGATAGTTTTGATAAAAAAATATATTTGAATCGATAAAACTAAATAATTAATATAAAAGTGATTTAAAATAAATGTAATATGTGTAAATTATTATTATTATTATTATTATATTATATACTTATTATCATTATATTAATAATAATAATAATAATAAATATATTTATTATTTTAATTATTATTATACTGTTGTTATATTATTATAATTATTATTGTTATTTTATAATGTTATAATTAGATTTATGAAAACATAACTATCATAAGAATAAGAATCTGATACAATACAAAATTATTTGAAATTAATAATTCTTTTAAAAAGATTGAAACTAAACAAAGCAACAAACTCATACTGCACGACGCAGCCATGAATTTCGACATCCCGAAGAAAATGTTGACGATCACACATTTTTTCGACCTGAATCTGCCACTTTTCGACCTCATTCTTCAAGTCCCGTCACAATCTGGCTTTTCTCTCTCTCTAATGTGACCCAACTGCTATATAGAATCAGTTCCCTAGTCCTAGGGTCGATTCCTAAATTACAGAATCCGTTTCCAGTCCAAGAACCGATTCTTACACAACTGAGAATTGGTTCTCGTCAGATAGTCAAATTGAAAAAAGAAAACATAGACATTTCAGTAAATCTATGTATTTTTTTCTCGAATCTTCTCACTTTTGTGTGGATTCATCTTTCATCCTATCCCTCAAATGCTCTCCGTCAAAGTACAAATCACTTAAAAGAAACACACATCAATTACTCGTCCTTCCATTCCCATTAACAGTGAATCAGTATAAACAAACGCCTCATTAGTCAGACACGGGTGTTTGTCGATTGATCTACAAACAAGCTATTTTGCATGTTGCCTATACTAATGAGCTAGTGATTCAAACAGGGGGGGCCTATTCTATCCAATTTTTCTGGTTTCTCGTAGACTTTTTTTATTATTTCATTGCCTATTGATCTGAGTGTGTGCCATACACAGCAATAGCATATAAAAAATACATTTTTTTTACGTCCGTGAAGTCACCAGCGATCCAATCCAGTCCCCTGACCCACTGCACCAACAAAACAAGCACAGAGCACTACTTGTTTTCTTTTCTCAATACGTGCACGTGAAACCTCAATAATTTGTCATGCACAACCCAAGTGGGGTCTCAAACCCTCAAAGCCAGAACTTCCTCTTTTGTTCTCTTCTCAATGCAAAATTCATCATACTCACAATCTCGCTCTACTAAGCATTTACATCACTGTCACTGTTCCTCTTCATCTTCCGTTCCCTTGCACTGCATCACAATGGCGGAGTCAACGTCCATGTCCCCATACCTCCTCTTCCTTCTTTCTCTTTCCCTCATCATGCCAAATGGCACTCACTCTTACGACAACAACACATTTAACCTGCAAAAGTTGCAGAAAAAACAGCAAAGTGTTGCCCCGGGATGCCTCCTTCCCGAATCAAGTGAGTTTTATTTTTGGTAGTAAAAAGCAAGCTGCTACACCAACCCATCTTTCCACCCTTTTTTTTAAACTTTTTTTTTTCTATTACACTTTCAAATCTCTTTAGTTTTATCAGATCTTTCTTTCTTTATACTGTTAAGAATCTAAAATCCCTTGAAAGAAATTATTCATTTGTGTTTTTCCTTCATGACAAAGTCACCAAGTATAGATTAGCCCATTAATAACTATGTCCATGCTGTATGTTATGTTTATTAGACTGCATTACTTTACAGTGTCTACGAGTAAGTTGTGTGCTTTAAATTACAACCCTTTTGGTTCTTAACTCAGATAAAACTCTTTATATAATCTGAATTCTCAGGAAGGGAAAAAGGTGCTATTATACTGGAAATGAAGGACAGGGGTCAGTGGTCAGGGAATAAAGATAATTGGCTTGAGAAACAGTTGGAATTGGATATTGTCCACGTTCGTTCAATTCAAAATCATATTAGAAAAAAGGCCTCTGGACATATAGAAGATTCCTCGGAAACCCAAGTTCCATTAACTTCTGGTGTAAAATTCCAAACTCTAAACTACATTGTGAGTGTGGGATTAGGAAGCCAGAACATGACAATGATAGTTGACACTGGAAGCGACTTAACATGGGTCCAATGCGAGCCTTGCCGGTCATGTTACAATCAGAAAGAACCTCTATTCAAATCTTCTAACTCCCCTTCCTTTCAATCAATTCTGTGCAATTCAACAATCTGCCAGTCTCTTCAATCGGGTACAGGAAATTCAGGAGCATGCGACAGTAATCCGTCAACTTGTGACTATGTGGTTAACTATGGTGATGGGTCATACACCAGAGGTGAACTGGGGGTTGAGAAGCTGAGTTTTGGAGGTATTTCAGTGAGTAATTTTGTGTTTGGTTGTGGAAGAAACAACAAAGGTCTATTTGGAGGAGCCTCAGGTATTATGGGGTTGGGAAGAAGTGACCTTTCAATGATCTCCCAAACTAATGCTACATTTGGAGGAGTTTTTTCTTACTGCTTACCTTCAATTCAAGCTGGAGCTTCTGGGTCATTGGTTATGGGTAATCAGAGTGAAGTTTTTAAAAATGTTACTCCAATTGCCTACACGAGGATGGTTCCTAATCTACAGTTATCCACCTTTTACATATTGAACCTCACTGGCATAGATGTTGGAGGCGTGGCTCTGCAAAACTTAAGTTTTGGCAATGGTGGGGTGATACTTGATTCCGGAACAGTGATCTCAAGACTGCCTCCATCTGTGTACAATGCTGTGAAGGCAAAGTTCTTGGAAGAGTTTTCTGGTCTCCCTTCAGCACCGGGGTTTTCAATTTTGGATACCTGCTTTAATCTCACTGGGTATAAGGAAGTGAACATACCTACCATCAACATGCATTTTGAGGGCAATGCTGAACTGAATGTGGATGTAACTGGCATATTCTATTTGGTTAAAGAGGATGCTTCGCGGGTGTGTTTGGCCCTTGCTAGTCTTTCAGATGAGTATGAAATGGGAATCATTGGAAACTATCAGCAGAGGAATCAAAGGGTCATTTACGATGCCGAACTCTCTAAGGTGGGATTTGCTGCAGAACCTTGCAGCTTCACTTGAATACATATAATGTCATATACTATAATCATTCATGCAACATCTGCCACAAACATCTTCTTCCACTTACATATAACTAAATGTTCCTTTTCCAAGATAAGAGTCTCTCTCCATTGGATAGTAAATTGACTCCTGTTAGCTTCTAAATGTTGTACTCTGTATTGAAATAATATAGGGAACTGAGATTGCATATTTAGCATCAGTTCATTAACCTTGTTGGAAATAATCTACCGCATTCGTCAGAACAGCTGTGACAACTTTAACAATAAAACACAACAGTACCATAATCACAGCAATAACGAGATAAATAAAGGTTATCCTACAATTGAGAAGAATATACTATAGAAAAGGTATTATTCGAGGAGAAAGATCATTGAAAATAATCAAGTCTAATTTAGAAACATATAATGTTTAGAGATTTTGACTTAAAAATAATATATATATTCTTGAATTAGAACGTAGTCGTGTTTATATAAATTTAAAAAATATATTTAATTTAATATTTATAAATTATTAAGAATAAAAAATTTGAAGAATGATTATAATAAATAAAATAATTTAAATATATTATAATTATGGTAACAGAAAAATCATTATAATGAAATATTGTAATTATGGTTGTTTTTTTGTAAAATTAATTTTGATAAATCTATATTTATTTGATTAAAATAATTTGTGTAACAATTTATTTTGTGTAATTAACAAAAAGCTCGTAACAAATACTGAATAAAGTCACCATATTACAATAATAAATAAATTATAGAAATCAAAAGCAAAAAGGTTATTACCGGGAAATAGTTACGCCTTTAAAACCATCATTCTATTACTAAAGTTTGAAACATTTATGAATTAGTTTAGTAATTATGTTATAAAAAAATTGTATACTCATCAATAAAAATATATTTTTGGTGGCATAAATTTTAAATTAATTAATGAAAACGTGTGTGTGTGTGTGTGTATATATATATATATATATATATATATATATATTATAATAACATAATAATTTATAAATTGACCCAGAGCACAATTTTACATAGTCAATTTATGATCAGTAAAGTATTGAATCCTTAAAGTATTGATAATAATTTTCGATTATCAATAAAAAAATTCACACCAAAAATAATTTAGTGAACACCATACACAATTCACTTCTCGTAACCATAATTATTGCCATTAATCTAGAAAAGAATTATTATTTTATATTGAAAAATAATTATTTCTACAATCATTAATAGAAATTTAGTTTATTACACAATTATAATAGAAATTTGTCTATTTCAACTAATTAAAATTTCATTTAAAACCGTTACAGATAATATTTTAGAAATAAAATCTATAAAATTAAGTGAATAGAAATTCGCAATACAAAAAACAAAAACCCTTTTCAGATCGATGCCAGTATTTGTTTTTCAACAAATTTTCTTTAAAAGTAAAATTCAGTGTAACATATTAAGCCTCTCCAATTATAATTTAACGAATTAAACCGAATTAAACTAATATGACAAAAGTTATCCATAAAATAAAATATGAAAAAAAAGCTTATAAAATAAAAATTATTTGTTATAGAAAAGTGGGTCCCAAGAACCACGTGGCAAGCATGTCATTGCCACGATGTCACCATTCCACGCTTGTTTCCGCTCTACCATGAAGCATACGGTGTCACAAGGCACAGGGTAGTATCGATCCAGTGGCATTTTCGTAATCTCGTTTAACTGCATAACACCGCTCTCCTTCTTTGGTTCGTTCATCCTCATGGTATTTACACCGTGCTTTCTTACATTACAAATAAACACATTTCTCTCTCTCTTTCTCTCTCTCTCTCTCTCTCTCTCTCTCTCTCTCTCACTGAGCTCGATCTCCTTGGGCTGGTCGAATTCGGTTTCTGATCTCCGAAGATTGATCTCGGTAGAGGCTAGTGCACTGTCCAATCTGCAAAAATGGTGAGCTTCCTCTCTGATCTGCTCCTTCGCAAAGGCTTCTGCATTCTTAACAACCTTAGATCTGGACCGAATTACCTTCGATTCAATGCTTTATCTTCTCGCCATTCTCTCTTTCAGTGTCGAATGCTTTTCTACCTGTTACTTAAAATTCGAGCGTCGCAATTCGCTTTCCTAGCTCTTGCTATTTCAATTTCAATGTGATCTACTCTGGACCGTGCACTGACTCATGTTTTTTGTTGTTTGTTTGTTTTTTCTCTTGTTAATTGCACTTGCAGCCTCTCAGACTCGAAATCAAGGTAATTCTGTTTGTAATCTGAATCATTGTATATTTGTTTTTGGTTTCCTGTGGATTTTTTTTATTTCATTGCCTACGAGATTAGATTTCTTGGAAACTAAGCGTAGTGTGAATGATTGACTTTCTGGATGCTTAGTCTAACTTGTTATTTTAATATTTGATCAGCGAAAGCTTGCGCAAAGATCAGAAAGAGTAAAATGTGTGGATCTACATCCAACAGAACCATGGTAGTGCCTCTTATTCTGCTGTTGTTTTGTTTCTGAATTTAATTTATGATGTGAGGAATCATTATTATTGGGAATATATGTAGTTCGCGGGGATTTAGTCACTAGTAGTGATGTTTGTCATCCAAGGTTGGTCTCATTCAATTAATTACCTGAAGCAACCTTGTCAATGCAGGATTCTGGCGAGTTTATACTCTGGAACTGTCTGTATCTGGAACTACCAATCTCAGGTGAGCAATTCTTTATGTATATTGTCATGAAAGAGTTTTTTTTTTTTTTTCCTAACTGAGAAATGTAATGGTTGATATGTCTATCTTGGTACTTTGATAGACACGGGGTGTTTATCGATTGATCTACGAACAAGCCACCTTTTGCATGGTGCCAATATATAATGAGCCACTAATTCAAATAGAGGGGGCCTATTCTATCCATGATTCCTTCAAAATCTTCAAGTATCTATATTATATGATTGATTGAATATAATACTGTATGATGTAGTGATTCATTACATGGAGAAAATATTGAACGAATAAATGGTGCTCTTTAAGTGATTTTGTCTTGAAGCATGGTTAGAAAATGTTTTTGTATTTTGTACTTTAAAATGAATAGAAACTGGGACTTGTGTGAAATTTACATACTGGTCAATATTTGATGAGTATACTGTGTTCTTTTTTAATCCATATCACACCCTTTTGAAGTTCTAAATGTAAGACCAGTAATTAATCTTATTTATGAGATCCTAGAGTCTGTGTTTGGAATACATTTAGATAAAATTATGTGCTTCTGAATATTTTGGATGCCTTTATAAGGCTTTCTGTTGAGCTGTGAGACTTAAGCACGTTTTCATAGATTGATAAAATTTGAATAACTGTAGATATTATGATCATCGTTTGGCATTTCCTTTGCTTTTAAAACTTCATATTATGCAAGCTTGATTTTTTCAGTTTCTAGTGTATCGGGTTAGGATTTGTAGTCTTGCTTTTCTATGATGGGTCTTCGTCTTCGCTGTTTGTTTATAATATCATAGCTTATGACACATTCCTTGTATCTTCATAGATTGTTAATAAGGGATGTTAGTTTCTCAGTTTCCTGTTTTATATTTAAATTCTTCACAAAACTGCTGCTTTAAATTGGTTGTTGTTAATTTCAATGGACATTTGCTTCTGTTATTAACATAATTTTATTTATTATATTTCAGACCATGGCCAAATCTTTTGAGGTTACTGAGTTACCAGGTACATGAAGTTATGAATTTTATTTAATCCATTTGTTTTGTATAACTAGCTCTTGATGCATTTTCTAAAAACCACTAGAGCTCTTATGCTACATGATTTTGCAGTTAGATCAGCCAAGTTTATTGCACGCAGACAATGGGTTGTTGCCGGAGC